AAATTGTTTCCAAAAAAAGGAGAAAGTACAGAGTATTTTACTTCTTTTTAGTCCGTACTTTTTCCTTTTTTTGGAAACAATTTTATACTCCCTATTTCAGTTCTTGAAAGATTGATTGATCCAATAGTCTAGTAGATGTAGTCCGTATACTGTAAATATACATTCACACCTTCCTTCTTGCCACATTATTAATCCCTCCCCCCACCCCCCAAACCCCCCAAAAAAACATGGGTAAGTCAGCTAGGTAATCTCATGAAACTCCATCACTCACAATACTTTCATGGCAAAATTTTCTGGCTGTCTGTTATGCACAAATGTAGACAGCATGTGGTGGTGCTTCACAGTTTTGGTACCTCACAAAACAAAAAGCACTAACCATTTTGTGAATTCGGATGGACTCTTGGCCCCTAGGGGTGTTGGAGTGCTAAGTCTCCGGTAGGCGAACAAGTATGCCTGGCCGGAAACACAATCTTTTCAACCGAACTGTTTCCTGTAGAGGAAGATCATGTTAAAGTGGATTGCTGGAAAGGGGCTTGTTCCAATTGGGGGGGGGGGGTTTAACTTCTTCGTTTTACAGTTTTATAAAAAAAATTTATATATTTTTTTAAACTACACGAAAACTCTATAAAACAAGAGGTGACTTGACTGTTATTTTAACAAATTATTAATGTTCCTTAAAAAAAATATTAAAAAAATAGGTCAAGTAGGAAAGTAAATTTTGGCATGTCAATAGTGCAACATGAACTTCTTGTAGGGATGGAGGGAGCAAAGAGTAGTTACACTTGTACTAATCATGTTAAGTTTGAAAACTGCCAACAAAAAACTGAGAAATAGCTGTGTTTTCATAATTTTGTTCTATGTTATTTAAAAAAAAACCGAAAACGATACTGAACGGGCCTTAAAATGTTTGTTTCTGAGAAATCTAAATGGAAAACAAATGTCACCTGGGTGTTATCATGAGCATATTGAATCACAAACAGGCATCTGCAGCCTCTTATGTCATGCAGCCTCTTTTGGATTTCTGTGACACGAGCTTCAAAGTATCTTGCAAGATCCTTTTTCTCCTTCATTATATTATTATATCAATCTATTAGAAACCCTTTATCTTGTGATTAAAGATCGATTTCAAGAATAAAAAGTTGAGTAAAGAGACTATGAAACTGCACCTGAAAGCACAGTACACTATCTCCGACCATCACCTTGTTGCACTCTGAATGTTCCAAACCAATAGAACGTTCACGGACCGACCTCCTTATGTTTACCCATTCATCCTCCTCTTCTCCAAACCCGATAAATCTGACAAGAACTTCCTGTAAAATAAATGGCATTGTATAAATCGTTGCAAATTCAGGTGTGCTAGTGTGCTACTCAAGTTTTTGACACTTACAGCATCCCCTGAGCTTAGATATCTATGTGAGATAAAAGAATCTATATCATACCTGAAAAATCCACACAAAAAAGGATCGTGAAACCCAATGGGAATACCATAATAAAAGATTAGTTCTGTACTTCTTACAAAAAATGTAACACTGCAACAACATTATTCTAGTGCCTCAAAGACTCCCCCCCCCCATTACAAAATGTAACACTAAGAAGCCAAATTCAGGAGTGAACTAAAAACAAATGGACGTGCTGCCAACAGATTCCAGGCATTCCCTCCATTTCCTAAGGAACAAGCAAGGATAATACATAGGCCAGAAAGATTTAAAAAACATGTTTTTAAATAACATGAAAATGCAACATTAAGCAGAATGTAATAGTATAATTCTAACAGAAAACATACAAATAAGAGTTTTTGTAATTAAAACAGGAACACTTTGAAGGAAAGGATGAAGACAAAACAAGTTTCTTGGAGTGAAGCTTCAAATGCAAGATATGCTGCATGCAAGTTTTAATGTGGAAATGGCTATGTACCCAATTAACAATTCCAACTGTGAAATGACCAACACCTTCTTCCTTGGATAATCCGATAGTGTAGGCTTACCATGCCCCATCTTTCGAAGATCTAGCTTCAAATTCTAACTCCGACAGGTCTGGAGCTTTTTCAGCTGGAAGAAAGATTTCCAGCACACAGTTAGTATAATAATGATAGTTGTAATTCAATATGAAGAGAAGGGCAGCATTATTCACTTATAGGGTTACATGAGACGAAATGAATGAACTAGTTGTCCCTCAAAGTTAGGTTACATAGGAATTGTTTTTATCAACGCATAATAACTTGTCAGAAGGAATATGGTGAGTTTGATTTTGAAATAGGGTTAAATTTATCAACACTGAAACAAGTCTTGGCTATAATAATATGCAAAACCATTTTTGGTGATAATAATATGCAAAACTTAAAGAGGAAAAACTCTTATGAAAAAACATTAAACAGATGTTAGACCAATTTAACACATTTCTTCCGAAGCAGATATATACTACTAGACTCTTAAAGGATGTCCTTCACTCCAAGAAGTACATATTTATCCACGTACAAACGCATTTAGACGTAACCATAAACACTAAGAAATGGCATTCGTGTTTGATACAAAGCTCAAACCTTGACACTAAATGTACCCTTTCACTTAAAAACAAAAAGGATTTAAAGAATAGTAACCATCAACACATGTGTTTGGTACATCTAATCTAGTGAAACAGAAAATGTCAAAACGCTTTACCAGAGGATAAAACTTTTTGTATATTAGAGGTTTCTTTTTCTTTGTCCGGAGGGTGTGACTCTGGGACATCAGGCAATACTTTGGTAGCATCTGCTGGAGTATCCTTCTCGAGGCAAATTTTCTGCCTATTCTTAAACCAATTTTGTATCTGAAAAATAATGGCGAACTGCACAAATAAATTTGAGTTACAGAAGATGACGGTTACTAGGTTCAGAAATAAGCACAGACACCTCCATCCACTTCACAACAGGTTGTCTAGTTCGACCCTTGGACCGGCTGAAAACAAGACACAAGAAGATAACGTAATCGAGAATTCATGCCCTAATTTTGTTTGTTTTGAATATTGAAACTAAAAGGAAATTGAATGAAACATCTAAAGAAACCAACTCACTTGAACGCCTTTGCTAATTTCTTGCAGAAGTCTTGGTCCAAGACATTTGCTTTGGAATCCTGAAGAATGGAGTCCATTCTTCGTACCTGTTTGAATTACGACAGAATATGTGAAGCAAATATCCCCCCTTTATAAGTGAAGGTGATAAAATATGACTAGTCTTGAATACCCAGATATATTTCTGTCCCAAGTAACATTAACATCTCAAAGCAACATTATTCAGCCTATCCCAACGTGAAACAATCGACTTGCACACTAATTTTCTTGCTTATGTATTTGAATAAAGAAACGCCACCAAGGGCGCGCGAGAGAGGGAAGCATGTGAATACAAAGCAGAAACTTAACAGGCTGCACCACAACCAAAGGGTGTTCACATAGTCACAAGTTCATAGCCACCCAGAAATCCAAAAGAGAGAAAACAGACACTGAAACATTCATGCAAACATGACCGAAATTCCTTACAAGTAAACAGGCTTAGGAAACCTAACATTTCAACAATGGAATCCATCCATTCCAACAAATACAGAGTTACAGTCTAAGGAAACCTAACATTTCCGGTATATTCTGTCAATGTCGTAAAAATCGTGCGCCTGCCAGACAGAAACCTAAATGCTCAACGTCTTTTAACCGCGATAAAAACAGAAAAGCAATCGCCCTAGACAGAAATATGAAGGGGGGGAAATCAGGCCATTGTAGAGAGATAAAAGCAAGAAGTTCACCTCATCTTCGGTGAAACCAGACAAGGATTGCCTCTTCCTGGGACGAAGATCCATTCAAAACCAAACTGAAAAGTCCAGAGACCTTGAATCGCTTTTCAGGGGGGGGATGAAAAGGGGTTTTCCGCTTTCTTCTTCACTCCATTTTCATTCGCCCAGTAGTACTTACCTATGAACTTAGGCCATTGGGTGAAAAGATTGATTTGAAAAGTTGAAACACAACCTTTTTAGGGCGCGTTTGGTGACTAAAGATGTTAATATTCTTCAATCTTTTTTTGAAAGGAATATTCTACGATCTTAAAACAATAACTTTGTAAAATCTTCTATTCCCTCCAGTCCAAAAATTTTTTTCTGTTTTAGAATTTTTTTGTGAAACATGTTATTTTTTGGTCACGAATTAAACATAATCTAAATAAATAAATAATATACAAATTTAAAATATCAAAATTATCTTAAAATGAATCTAATTATGTTGAATTTATACCATAACTAAATACTTCGTATATCCTTTTCACATTTTATGATCAAATGATATCATTGTTTGACCAAACAAATCAAAACACGAAAGATTTTTGTGACTCTTAGATAATAGGTTTTATTGGATTATTGTTGTTTATTCTAAATTCTGAAAAGAAATCAATTAGAAAAGTCTGAAAGGATACTCGTTAATAACAAGTCAGAATAACCAAGGATAATGAGTGGTCACGACGATAAGTTACCAACGATATTGATGGATTTATCAAAATTTCAAATTGATGTCTCTCCAAATCGAGAGTTATTGGAAAATATTATAAACAAACTATATTTGGGTTTCGTCAACCACCAAAAAATGTATTGAGATACTTAGTATTATGAGATATCAGGCTTCATATCTCATACATTTATCAAACAAGCCTCAAAACTTTTACTCTACTAGCCTAAGAGTAATTTATTTCTTAGTGAGCATATAAATCTCCATTTAAGAATGACTAAGTATGAGAAACTACCAACTATGGCTAAAACAAGTATCGTGTATCAAAATAGGACTTTTCATGTTTTATATGTCCTTTGTCTTAAAATATTTTATACTTTAAACAAAACGAAGTACTTCGTAACATTTAATTTTTTTTAAATTCATTCTATTAAAAGACAAGTATAGAACTTTAAAATAAAATTTACATTTTAAAAAACTATGTCAAAAGTTCTATAAGAGGTGACAAAAATATTTTATTTTATCTAATAATCAACTAAAACACACAAATAAACAAAAATGTCTGTATCTTTTATTTAAATAGTGATCTTTTATTTTAATAGTGAAGACTGAAGAGTGTATTTCTTTTTAGAACATAGGGAGTACGAAATACTTCCTCCGTCCTAAAACATTCTTCTCGTTTCTATTTACGGGGTTTGACCAACTTTATTTTCAATTCAATTTATTTGATTGTATGTACAAAATTAAAAAATAAAATTCATATATTTGAAAACTACATCAAAAGTTCGACAAAACAAGAAGTGAAAATGTTATATTATTTTATCAAATAACTAACAAAAATAAGTTAAAAAATGATTAAAATTTGACCGCGTGAATAGATAAATTAATAGAAGATGCAATTTTAATGTAAATTTAGTGTTCTACTCCCACTTGTGCATGTGAGAAATTCTTGTTTTCTTTTTACACATGAGTCTTGAACTGTCTCATTCCAGACTACTCAGAAGAATTTGGCACACAATAATAACATCTGGGAAAACAAACTGCAAATTTTGTATCATATGTGTGGCAAAAGTGGCAGGTTACATACAGTGTACCAGTTGACAATTCATAGAAAAGGGCACAAACAGAAAGAAAGAGAGAGAGAGAGAGAGAAGCATATGACTACTGTATATACTCAACCACTGATGCACAATCTAGTTTCTGAAACTGGGAGACCTATTCAAAAAAAAAAACTCAAACAAAAGACCAGTTGATGAACATGAAGCAAATGGAGTGAGGGTTTTCGTCTTCGTCCAGCACTTTCCACGCCACGGCCTTCTCAAACGAAACCGGTCTCCCCATGCTTGACAAGCATATCCCGCTTTGGAGACAACTGAATCCCTGTGCTCCATAATAATCACATTCAGCACATCCATCTTGGTAAATGATGGAGTTTTGAAGGAAAAAAAAAGACATTTTTTTTTACAATTCTTTTTATAGCTTCAGGTGAATAATGGGTTGAAATGGTACCTGTTGCATGATCTGTGGAAGCTCAGACAAGAGTGTCTTTCTGCCATTGTCATCAAAAACCTTTTCCAGTGTAATATCTTGCAGTGCAGCTAAGGTTGTTTCCAGCATATCAAGCCCGGCCTCATTTGCGAATGTGAAAACGGGTAAAGCCTGCATTTTTATATATGTAAAAACCCAACATTCACTTCGAGAAGTGGCAGACATCGAAACATAACAATAACAACAATAAACCCAGTAAAATCCCACAAAAAGTAGGGCCAATCAATAGTCAATACCTTTAAAGAGCAACACATGAGAGCATCTGAGTGATGCCAAAGTGATTTGAGGAAAGATTCGCTACCTTCGCTAACAGATTTGAAAAGATCCATGCCCAAAAAATATCTGCAACGTATCGACAAATCAATGCCATGCCAGAAGTGGATAGGGAAAAAAAATCATGTCTTTTTCACAAGAAAATGTTTTCTTGCAGACAAACGGGGCGTTAGTCTGCGAACCTATAGCTTTGGGTAATCCAACGGGCAAGCGTATGGGCTTCGGGCGTGCCGGGTGGAGACCGAAGACCAGAGTGAGGGTCAAGACGGGAAGGGGAGAGAGCCAATGCTACCCTCTGGACAGACGAAATGATACCGCGCACATATTGCCGGGCCATAGCTGCTATGCTCTCTTGAAGATGGATGTCAAATGCAAACTGAAAAGCAATTGTCATAACTGATCTGCTGCTGCTGCTACACTGCTTATTAGATTGGTGATCCCCGCTTGCACGGACCCCACCTGTCCCAACCTCAAGGGTTGATGCCAAGTCAAGGGTTCGGCTTGCGATTTGGGAATCCTGCAGGACATTTGACAACATATGGGAGCAGTTAGTAAATGAAGACTCCTAGAATGTTGGAGAGAGGGAACCAATAGCTACTCACAGCTCTAGAATCTAGTGGAATGATCCGGAAACCGGAGGGAAGAAGGGGTGCATCGTCTGCGAAAGAAGCGTCTATAGGGGCAAAGATGAGCTCACTACTCGTGCCAACGGCACTCTCATCCACTCCGCTGCAAAGCTGGGGAGATGTATACAAGAGGTTAGGCAAAGCAAAATACTAGAGATCAATTATTGTACTTTAAGCATTTTATTATATGAATGCACTCATAACTACTTTTGAGCTTGTGCTTTGTTAAAAATCCAAACTAGCGTGTTTGGCAATCTGCTTCTGCTTATAACTAATTGTTTTGGAAGTCTAAAATGGGCCCTGGAAAAAAACACATACTTGTAACAGAAAGATGTCGCTTGCCGCAAACATGTCTTCTCGGTAGTGGCCCGTGTTTTCCAGCCTAACTACCTCCATAAACTGTTTCAGATTTGGCGAAAGATCATTATTTTTGTAACAGAGAGAATACATATTAGGCTTAGTAGAGAGTATATGATTCAAGTAAACGACTTGCCTCTTCATGCTCTATGGTTTGAGCCAGGGGAAGAATGACCTGCCCGCCAAAACTTCCCGGTCGGGGTTGGAGACCGCAAGGGCTGGCTTTAATAGAAGACGCAGAATAAGCATCAATGCTGCTATCTGCCCATTCTGACCGGTGTTCTCGCAAGAACCTTAGAAGGATTGCTGGAGGTACATTCTGTCAATCAAAACAAGAAATGTGTGTTTACTCTTAGCTTTTTTTCGCAATCCAAACACACCCTTACTGTATTCGAGATCTTTGTTCGAGTGGTTTACCTGCAAAAGCATGGAGGCCTTGGCACATAGAACAGCACCACCCAAAGGTTGGAGTCCATTAGCATAAGCTACATTTGCAGACATCAATTTGGCAGTGGAGGAATTCACCATGATGGCGACATCATCAATTCCATCACTGCCTATCATCGACCACCCTTCGTCCGTAAAACAGTTCACAGCCTCATTAAACCCCCTGCACGAAAACACGAAAAAAGTCTGACTAAATCCTCCATCCCAAGTATCCCACCAAACCACACTAAAATCCCACAAAAATAGGGTCTGGGAGTATATGTGTACGCAGACCTTACCCCTACTTAGAAGTAGAGACTATTTTTTTGGTGAGGAAACGGAGAGAAACCTTTTTTTTCTTTCATTTCCGTCATTATTCCTTGAACGAAACATAGCGCAAATGTGCAAGTTTAGAAAAGAATGAATAGATAACCTACTTGCTCAATCTTTGGCCAAGTGCACGCAAGGCAGCTGGTCTTCGTCCCCAACCGCTCACATTAGGCTGAGAAATCTCTTGTGAGATCTGCCTCAAGTGGCGTAAAGCCTGAAAAAGGAATTTCCATGTCTTCATTAAGCCTTACATGATAGAGTACAAGTTGACAAAATGTACACATTGCATATCCTCAAAGGACATTTCCATATATTCGACGAATGCGACATAAGATAATCAATTTTCATGACCATACACATGGTTAAGTCCGTTCATACCACAAGTGTTGTCCTCTGGGATAGTAGAGTTGATGACTCGTATAATGGACGCAGCACTTCAGGAACACTCCATGGCTGTTAGAAATGATTGGATTGCATTGTGATCAACAGTAAAATGCAAAAATAATTAAATAAAAACAAAAAAAGAAAACCTTAAGAGTTATATTTATAGACCTCTAAATCAAGATGGTCGACGATATGAATGATGGATCCACCACCTTCGCACGGCCTTATCAGATATCCACTTGGCAACATCTCGGCTCTCACGAAATGCTGCACTGGTGGCATGCTAGGACCATTCTGAGTGTTATTCAATGACCTTTCACATATCTATAAAGAATTTATGTATAAAAAAGAGAGAGACAGTTAGCATTTCCAATAACATATGCCCTTCTTTGGGCTACCTTTATTTGTCATAAGAGACTTACCACAAGACTTCCATCTTCCATGACAGACGTATATCGTAGTAACCAGAAGTCACGAGCCGGTGCAAGAGTTGTAGGTGCATATAGCTGATTCAAATA